GTTGACGGTAAGGGAGACAATAACTAGAGATGGTTGTGGTTGACGGCAAGGGAGATAATGATGGGTTGGTTAACTTTTACAGTGGTTTCATAAGTGAATACATTCACTTATGTTGTTCATAACCATACCACTTGCATTAATTCATCAATGTTCATCAAATATTGTTTTTAAGTGAACATTGTTGATAATAATATTGTTCATGTGTACATGGTTGCTCAAATCATTGTTCTTACATGCATATTGTTCATACGTGGTGAACATTGGTCATACATGAAGATTGGTCGTACGATGATGATATGCATTCCAAGATTTCAAGATTGCACGAATACAGAGCCGATATGTTATCGTGAACTCAGAGAATAAACTTCATTTCCTAATTTCACTCCCAAAATGTTTTTACTAGTATATCTCTGTTCGCCTATGAAATCATTTCGGAGGCACGTGTTCACTCTCAAAATGTAATAATAAAACACTAATTTCTTATCAACCGTGGATTGATTTTTTGGATGGTTAGAGATCGGTTAACAATGCTAACACTAATGACTTGGTTAACAAAAAAAAGAGGACCCTATATATATGTATGTATATGTATGTATGTATGTATGTGTGTGTATATATGTATGAATTTTCTTAATTAAAATACAAATAGTAAAAATCTTCTATATAAACAAAGTAAATAGATGAATGTATCATTGTTCATAAATTACTATTTTTCTCGCATCATGCTCATGTTACTTGACAACTTTTCAATTTCGTCCTAGAGGTATCAAACATTAAACAATAACTAATCTAGTTCAGTACCATCTCGTACAATATACTGTAGTTCGTATTTCAAATGCACTTGTACAAATTAGTCGTTTGTCCATAGACGGTCAAACGTTTCTCCAAACTGTTTGAAAGAAGTTTTGACTTTTTTTTTAAATTTCAATTGATCTTAAAAATACTTTTAAAACCACATTTTTTTTAAATTTTAATTAAAATTATTTTTTGTCAAAAATGTATATATTCTTCAATCGATTTAAATTGATAATTCCAACTTACCAAAGTGTCAATTTTTTTTATTTTATTTTTTTGATTCCTTATCTTATACCATGATTAAACAACCTTTAAAAGAATTTGACGAATAAAAAGAAGGGTTAATATTAGACGAAAAAATACATTACTTCTTAAGATTAAAATGTGTTCTAGTTAATCATTTCCTTGTTCTCGTAAGAAATGGTATATTATTGTATTTATATTTACTTATGACGTACGGTGGGTCACATTCGTATTAATTTTTATTTTATACAATATTCCAGTGAGTTATTAGTTATTTTATTCAAAAATTCCTAAGTAAGGGGGGTGTTTGGGATTGCTTATATGAAACAACTTATTCGTTTCTACAAAAACACTTATCAGAAGGATTTAACTTCTTCAAACACTCAAAAGTGCTTATTACCGGTGTCACACTGGAATAAGTCAATAAGTTGTTTTTATAAGCAATCCCAAACACCCACTAAATCTACAAAGCTATTTCCACACTTTTTTTTTTTGATAAAATTAATATTCTATATTTTCCATACCCAGTTTTTAAGATAGGAGTGTCTAACGACAAGAAAAATAGAACCTTTTCAAATAATTAATATTGAATTTTAATAATTTTATATTCAATTACTAAATATTTAGAAATCTCTTCTCTCTATATAAAAAAAAAAACTATTTTAGACAGATCGAAAACCGAAACTCAAAATAGAAAATCAACTATTTTAAAGTTTATCGTCTTTCAATTTAAACACTCACGAAAACACCATCTTGTAGCAACCCTACAAAGAAAAACCCGTCTTGAACTACAAACATTGGCAATCAACATACATCGTTTCAAAAGCAGTAGTCTTTCCAACAGATCTACACAAACCAAGACTCTCTTGACGATACAATACCATACGGGTTCCATTCGAAACTACATGTTCCAACCGGATCTTTAACTTTAAAAACCAAACGGTAACGGAACGTATACGTGTACGTGTACGTGTACGAAAAAAAGAAAGAGGTAGCTGACAAGTGCCCATAAGGTAATCATAAAATGGGAAGATTTAGGAAAAAAGGATTGAATGAAAAACCTACAACAGTTTCTAAATAAGTGTTGGTGAGAGAAAGAGAAGGTCGGAATGTAGGTTTAACCATAAAGAGTGTAATCCTTGATCAAAGAGGGTACTTGTTCTGGTTCACAACTTTCATAAACTCAGGTAACCTTGTTTAACCATTACTCTTTTCTTACACATATACCCTCCAAATCTAGGACCCCCTACCCCCTGTCCTACCCTAAACCCTTCAATTTCTAGCCCATCCCACCACCTATATATGTATACATTCAATTCTCTCTCTCTATGTATACATATATACATATATATATATATATATATATATATATACATCATAAATTGTTTGGGGTTTGGCATTTCAAACACTAATTAACTAACTAGGTGTAATGTAAAGTGTAAGGGGCTGACTCTACATTCCCTACCAAAAGGTCCTACATCTAATGCACATTGAACAACCTAAAAGCAAGAGATCGTATCGACGACGTTCATGGTTCCATCTCATCGTCTACGTATACTGGGGAATTCAAACCATCATGACAAGTTTCACGAGACACTTTTGAAACAAACGACTATTTTTATATACAAAGTACTTGTTCTTACAAGACACTTATGAGAAATTAATGTCGTGATAAAATAATAATAATAGAACGCTTTATTTTATAATTATCCTGAAAAACCTATTGACATGTCCAAAAATACCATATCAACTTATTGTAACACATTTACGTCATAGACACACGATACTTTGGTCCTATAAATAAAAACACTTATAAAAACAATATTGTTGAAATTATTTGTCTTGTATATGAATTCTAATAAGAAAAACATTTAAGGGTCGTTTACCAAACACTTACTCGGTAAGCACTTACCGGTAAACTTAACACTATCATTTACTTATCGGATAATATTTTAGTCCACCAAAACAGTATGACTTAGTGTTGCTTACCTAAGTAAGCGTTTAGTAAACGGCCTCTTAGTCTATTTTATAATCACAAAAAAAGTCGTATTTTTCCGATTTAAGAAAAAGAGATTGTTTTTTATTTTCCATATTGGAAAAAGTAATTGTAATTGTATAAATAATAAATTACAATAATCAACTCATATAACACATGGTATTTATTTATTTATTTATTTATTTATTTATATGGGTATATATAAAGTCGTACACTAATTAGGGCATCACGGGATGGTACCCCTCCCCTAGAGAGGCCGTGGTTGGGTCTATTTTAAATAACAACAGAAAACATATAGATATGGAAATGTGTACGTATATGTGAGTGTCTATATATATATATATATATATATATATAAATAAATGAATGATCTTATGCAAACCACCTAATTTATACATTTATATAAATAACGTGGTTTGCAAAATAAACCTCCTCTATATATAAATATATATGTGTGATGGTATACATAATGCAGCCTTAGGCATACATAAATGAACATATTATGCATGAATATTAACTCATTACAACTCATCACATGCATTTACTTGCATTTATAAAACCATAATATTGTACCAGAAACAGCTTTCATTCTTCCCTTTTGGGACTCACCTTCACTTATATCTATTTATTACCAATTACTACTCCTATTTACCATTAAATGTAATTCCTATTTAATTTCTACTCCAACTCATCAAGATTAACCCGAAATTGAAACACCAACTCAAGAAAACCGAGGATGTTTCTAACTGTTAACTTTAAAGCTTATCGTATCAATCGAGAAGCAAGTAAGCTGATCTGGACATACATGGTTACCAAAAGAAGTATCAGGCAAAGTTGACTCGTCTTTGCTAAACTTAACTGCACGAAAATACAACGTAAAACTAGATGCATAATATACGTATACGACATGCATAACAGATGTAGGACACGGAACATCTTGGCCGATCGATTGATAGGGCTAACGTGTAGGGATACGAAACCCCTAAAAGCATTATGGATGCATACGTACATACATATATATACATACAAAAAGAATAGGTGAGAAATGGTATGCATGGAGGTTTTAGGGGATGGACCTCAAACAAAAAGCGGGTTAAAGATGGACCAAAAGTGTCGCAATATCCGCATACTTCATTAAATCGATACCATTTATATCAAAACATATCCCCTCCATCTACGTTCCTTCAGAATCTCGACAATAACACGTGAACACAAACGAGCAACACTTAAACATAAACATACGGTACAAACGCAAGCGAAAAGAAACTAAACTAACAAAATTCTACGCCAGTAAAACCGATAGATGGTCCAACTCAAAAACCGTCAGCAAAATTATGAATTAAAGAAGACCGCATGAAACCTGGATGGCATTTGTAAACAGGAAAAATGAACGGGTAAACGGGGAAAAAGCTACCTCGAGTTCAAAAACCAAGCAGAAAGTGATCTTCCAGTTTATAAGACTCTCCAATACCCAATGTCTTTAGTCACATCTTATTCTCTTTGTGCACAAATCCAAATGTAGCAAATTCAACATTCGCCCAATATACCCTTTTAGATTCTTGAGAAAAAATGGCTTCCATTTCATGGTTTAGTGAGTTCTAACATCGAACCCCTTTTTCTTAAACTAAGTATGAGCTGATATAGTTTGTATGGAACTGTAAAATGACCTAATGTGTGCATCTTGTTTAGGTTTGGTGTTCGAGTCATGGATTTGAATACCCTTTGGAGAGACGGTGACATTCGATGTGAAATTCTAATAAACTCGACGAAATAATTAACGATAATAATGTTGAGATGGTGATTACAGATTTATGGCATTTCCATAAGCATTGTTTCTTTGATTTCATCTCCTAGTTGAATGCTAGCAGCTACATAACCAATGTGGTATAATCAAGATCAAAGCATGCAAATGCGACCTCTAAAACTTCCATAAAAATTAGCAATTTTTTGCCCTTTTTTTTTCTTTTCAAGATCTTGGTGGTGGGAAGAATTGCGTACCGGCCATGAAAGCATTGAGTGGTGTTGGATATATAGATGAAGGATCAATGGAGGAAGTAACATTTGGATTGACGGAGGTGGTGGCAATTCCCATCGTACCGGAAGTAATGAGGTTAAGTTGTTGATGTTGACCACCGCCGCCGCCTGCGGAGGAGCTATCTCCGCCACCTGGGTGGTTGTATCGACCTTCCGGACCATGGTCATACAGAATTCCTTTGAAAACATGTCCACCGATGTTAACTGCCGTCTGATATGCCAGCTGCTCCTCCGCCTCGTCCATTGCACTCACCCTAACGCACCGGAAAACCGCCGGAGAACTCACTTCCGCCGGGAAATGACCCACTTCTAACCCTAAATTGAAAAAAGATCAGAACAAATGTATACAAATTTACATCCTTTTTAAGCTTTTCTTGGCTTAGGTATAATGAAGTCTACCCTTCACCTACAACACGCAAAATGCGATGTGTCATAGCACACACAGTCGCACACAGTGCGACACTCTATGTGCAACCATACTTCATAGATTTTATCTACTACTATACATATAGGGTTATATATATATATATATATACACACACACAAACAGTAGCCCTGATTTCAAAGCCTAAATTAGTCTTGAAAGATGAAGCTAATCTATATATACATACATGTGTCTGTGTGTATATATATGAAGTAAACTCCATCAAATCATGAATCAATATGGGTTAAGAAAAATCGAGTCTTTTTTCCAAAACCAATAATTGGAAAGAAGAATAATTTGTAGGTTTTGTTTGTTTCTTGAAAATATGGATAAACCTAAGAGACAATCTTTACCTGATGAAGTGTTGTGATGATGCGAAGATGGCAAATTTACAGCCACAGCACCACCACCGCCGGCGCCGCCACCAACGGTCAAGAGATGATGATCCTCCCGTAATCTCTTTGGATTCTGATCAATACCATCGCCTGCTCCGCCACTTCCGCCGCCTCTCATCATGAGACTCAGCTGGTGGTTACCTAAATTATGTTGCTGCTGCTGTTGTTGTTGAGTTAATGAAGCGAGCTGTTGTTGACGTTCTCGCCGTTTAGCTGCCGGAACCCAGGTGCTCTTGATATGGGTTTGACACTGAAACCCACGGCTTTTGCAGCATGTTCTACACCTCATATGCTGACAATCTTTCTTCGCTTGGTTGCCGCAATCTTGACAATTCATCCCACCACCACCACCACCGCTGCTACTCCCTCCACCGCCGTGATCGCCGCCGATTCCATACCCAGCCTGCCTCATCACTTTGGTCCCCTCGCCACTCCCAACCGATCTACTGATGATATTATTCCAAGAAGACGAGTAAAGATGATTGTTGTTGTTGTTGTTATTGCTGCTGTTAAGGCAAAGATCATCCAGACCACCACTAGCAGTGCCACTTCTTCTCCTACCGGCGACACCCAAATCATAATGCGGCGGTTGTTGATGGTGGTGCTGCTGCCGGTGCTGGTGAAGCTGATAATACTGTTGCCATAGTTCAAATCCTTTGCTGTAGATCTCCTCGTTCTTGAACAAATACAAACTATTAGGAGTGATTATACTATCTTCCTGCTCTTGATTCTGATCATGTCGTTGTTCATCATCTTTCCCAATTCCAAACCCTCCCCCTAGTGAAAAAAAACCCGACATCTTTCCACACCCAAAATCAAACCCAAATCCATATCCAAAATAATATCAAGAAATTAAAAGGGTTTTAATCTCTCTGATCACGGAACCGGTAGGGGTTGTGTGAGTGCCACCTACTTAAAGATCTAGGGTTTAAAAAATCCTTGTGTGTGTGTAAAATGGTGTCTTGTGTGTGTGAAAGAGAAACTCCTCACCCCAATTTTAATTATAAACCGTGCAAGTGGATTTTGGGTTTTTGTTGCAGAGTTTTCCAAAAACAATTTCCATGGCGGATTTCAAAAATTAAAAAAAAAAAAAAAAAAAGTTTTTTCGATGATTCATTCCCTTTCTTTTTTCTTTTTCTTTTGAATTCTCTGTCTTTTTGTTATTTGGATGCATTAAAATCACGCCCCCTGCAACGCCGCCATAGCCACTGCAACCCCCCCTCTCCTCCTGCTACCTCAATTTAATACAAAACCCCATCTTTCTCTCTCTTCGCCTCTTTCTCTCTCTAAAAACCTTCGGAAAATCTATGTGATCTCCCAATATTTCCTCTACAGTTGTCTGGCAGTTGCAAATAAAGTCTGGTTTAATCTCATCCGTCACATTCCAATCAGACGCTCATTACACCATCCACCTGGCACTTCCACCAGCTTTTTCTTATTCGTCCTTGCACCGGAAAACACGCTCTGCTTTTTTCTTTTTTCTTTTTCTTTTCTTTTTTATTACATTTATCTCTAAATCAGTTTTTTATTTACCGTAATTAATTAATTACATATTATATATATATATATATGTATATATATATATTATTTAAAAAATTACTCCGACCCCATGCAACCAAATCTATCGTCTGAAAGTGGAAACACACAGTGTTTCAAACTATACCTAATCACCGTTCAATCAATCAGTCACTTGATTCAACCCGACGGTCCAGCGTTGCTTTTCACCGTCACTACATCAACGGCTGTGAAATTAGCAAACTCTAGACGTATAGTAGGTGTATTTACTGTGTGTATTGATTTATTTAAATTAATGATTAATATTTGTGTATTTTGGCAAAAAAGAGGTAACGCCTCGTATCCCATTCTTAATTCTTGGTGTAATCATTGACCTTTTTGCTTTTTTTTCAAATGGGAATTTTTTTTATTTTTTATTATTCCTATTTTAGATAATACTCATGTAAAAAAGTTATAATATTTATATATTTTTTTATTTATTTAAAAAAGAAAATTATGCTAACAGTAACGAGGTACTGTTTTAAAGTCAACACTCCCGGTAATAACAAAAAACCTGACGTAAGATTTTGTTAATACCCAGGATTAATGTCCATGTTTTTCTTTTTCTTTTTAATTAAATCTAATTCCTTTTTTATGCATATTATGTAAAGTCAAATAAAACATGAAGTCAAACATTTTTTTTTAATTTTTTTTCAAAATAAATAATTAAAACATGTACAATTAAAGTTTGTTTAGTAATTGCTGAATGGTTTGATGCAAAACAATTAAGTGGTTAGAATGATTAAGAGACTATTATGATATAGTGCAAAATGAAATATAATTATTTGATAATTATGTACAATGAAATTAGGGATCTTAATGGTTAAGGGAAATCTAGGATACAAGTTTTGGAACCATTAAGAGACGGACTTTTATTTTGTCAAATAAGATTCACTTCTTAACGATTCAGATGTTGCCTCTTAATAGAACTATTAAGCGTTTACATCTAATACAAACACAACAATTTTCACTATGATTCATATATAAGATTTTCTATTATTTATCAATGATTGAAAATCGATCTAGTTAAGTTAGTTATTTTAATTAATTATTGCTAGACTGGGGTTAAAGTCAAGAATATGATGTTGGTTAATTTGTGTTACTCAAATCGACAACTTTAGTGGTTTTGGAGTTCGATTTATAACTAGTAAGCCTTTTCAAATGCATTGCCAAAACAAAAGGGTTTATCTCTGCTGAAATTACGAATATCTGCTTCGCAAAGATTTTAATCTGCTTTACGATTGTCAAAAGATCTGATTTCATTAGGTCATATCTCTATATATCTCTGCATCTCTCAAAAAAACAGAATAATAAAGGATGCCATGTGTCCTACGTGTTTCTACAACCCTGTATCGACTCAGATTTCAATCCTAAGGTCGTGATTTTCTCTCCAAATTTATAACAATTTTTGTTTCAAGATTTTTAGCAATGTTATGTCAACTTAGCAACAAACATATTGGATAATTAACAAGATATCAGAACAGAATATACGTACGTGCATATGTTAGTATTGTAATGCCACGTGTGTAACTATTTTTGTGAAATGTTTACAGCAATACGACGTACGTTAACATACACATTACTCGGTTTGGAATCTCCGAAAGGAAAATGAGTATCTTTGTTGTCGTATATATTTACGCAATCACATGTATAAAATGTTTTAGCACGATAAATATTAAGCCAGTAGATTTATTAGGTTAACTGGTGATAAGTATTTAATGGAAAGTTAATTCAGTCACAACAACGATAAGGAGAAGGACACGATGTGACTACACTTGGTCATGATTATGTTAGTGAGTTTGGTTCCAATTATTTGTATTTGTCTACTGTTTAATATAATGAGACGAGCGTGCATTCATACTTTTAGAATTTGTACAGGTGATCTTTGACTATTTTTCAGTTATGTATTTTAAGATATTCTATTGGCATTTGTTTTGGGGTTATTCTCGATGTTATTAAATGAATGTACGTTTTTTCAAGTTTCGATGTCACGACCCAGGTGGAATAAGGAGTGTGAGATTTACCCTCTAAAGAGAAGTATATATTTCACATTAATCCTGGTGTAAACACTTCAGTATATTATTATATGTCGAACAGGATAATCAAATCATGTGATCACTTTATCGTTTGTTAGTCGTATTTATGTCATTGGATCGAGAGATGTACATACATTACTTGGCTTCCAATTTGCAAGATTTAAGATGAAAATGTGTGTGTATAACAATTACTGGCTACGACGTTTGTTTTTACAGTACAGTTTTTCAAATAATGTCCTATAAAGTTGCTAATGAGACGTTTTATATTAAAAGCGTCCTAAAAAACTTATTACGACGTCAAAAAAACGTCATATAAACTTATTACAATATCTGTAGATAGGACATTTTATTTTTTTGGTCCTATAAACTATGTCCTATAAAGAGGTCTATTATGACGCTTAGAAATTAGAAGTGTCATATAAATTCGATTTTGTTGTAATATCAACTGAAAATATTCTTGATATAAAAATATATAAATAGTCTTTTTAAATTACTTACCACAAAAAACATTTGTAATTTATGTGGAATTTGATCTTTTTTAAGTCAATATTTGTAGGATATCTCTACTTTATAAAGAGTTTACAACTATCTTATTTTAATAATTCTGATATCAACTATATTATTAAAATAAATATATAATATATTTAATAAAATACCGGTTTTCTTTCATAAACATTTATTATAAATACTTTCTACTGGTGCAAAGTATTAAAATAATAATTTGTCTCTTTGTTTATAGATTTCTCTAAATTTAGAGATTTTTATAATTTCTCTCTTATTTTTCTCTATTTTATCATGCAATATTTCATAACTGTTGGAGCAAAACAATTGCTAAAATCTTTCTTTTCTCTATTTTAACATAGTTGTTATAGCAAAACAATTGTTAAGCTCTTTCTTTTCTTTATTTTAACATAGCTGTTGGAGATGCTAAGAACATACTTTTTGCATTTTTTTGTTGTCATCTCATCTCTAACTCATCAAATTAAGAACTCTTTTAAAAGTCCACAACTGTTTATAAGAACCTCATTTTTGTAGGTCTCATTAGTTTAAATTAAAATTTTAATTACATTAAAACATTAAAACCAAATCTTTTTTCACTGTTACAATAAAAATTAAATCATATTTAATACAATTAAATTTTTAAAAAAAATTAAACAAATCAAATCATACAATTATATCATATTTTATTTATTTTGATATCATGATTAACCGTTACAATAGATGTGCGCCCAATATTTTCAATTAAAAAACCAAGAAAAATAAAATAACTCGTGTACATTAATCTAATGGTTAAAATGAGGGTTGCAAAAGTTGTAAGATTTACATCGATTGCAAATTAAGGTGAGAAGCGTAAAAAAAGATTTTCATCTTTGGATGTACATTATGATGAGATGCACCGAATCAATCCCCGTATCAATTGTCATTCATGGGTGACTTTGAAATTAAAGGTGATCAAATGTTTAGATCTCTTTTTACGCTTCTTACTTTAACTTTCACACACGATTCTTCGATTATATATGTGTGTATGTGTATATATACATGTGTGTGTGTAATTAAAATATTGATTTTACTTTTTTATAGGAAATAGACAAAAGAATAAGCAAAAGGCTAAAATGACATTTGATTTAACGAAGTTAATAGAAGCGTTAGTCAGATGGACTATGACCAAAACAAATTGAATACCATAAGTACCAAATCCACAATAAACATACCATATAGAGACTAGTCAAAAAAATATCAAACCACAAGGACCAAATTCAAAATTCACTCTATTCTTTATGATAACTTACTACCAAATATTTATTAATTAAATAATTATAATAAATAAAATATTTATTTTAATTTATAAAATGTGATAACCGAGTTTGTTATTTAAAAGTTTGGGTTGATTTTGATTAGTGGCAATAAGTTGTGGTTTGTTTTCACCGCCTCATCTTTTTAAATATGTGTGTGTTAATTTTAAATTTCTCTTAGGGGCTGTTTGGCAGTTGCTGAATGATTTAGTGCAGAATAGTTAAGAGGTTAGAATGGTTAAGAGGGTCAGAATGGTTAAGTGCAGAATGAAATAAGGGTGTTTGGTAATTGTTCTCTGAATCACAACAAATTACCATTTTAACCCTTAACAAATTTCAGAATTTTCCCCAACCAACTCGTTGTTGCCCAAATTTGGCTACTCAATAGTTACCATTGACTGCTTCTTCATTATCAA